TCCAGGTCTCCCACACAGGTGCAGGGTTCCAAGGCTTTGGGCCATCCTCGACTGCATTCCCAGGCCACAAGCAGGAAGCTGGATGCTGGACGGGAAGTGGGGCTGCCGGGATTAGAACCGGCTCCCGTATGGGATCCCAGTATGTACAAGGACTTTAATCACTACACTGTCGTGTCGAGCTCCTGCATCCCCTCCTTAAGAAGGAAACCTTGGAACAGGACTTGCCTTTCCTTTGGTGAGAGGAGAGAGAGAGAGAGACCTTAAACGTTTGCAAAGGCCAGGAGCTTGGCATTCCACCCAGGTCTCCCATGTGGGTGGCAAGAGCACAAGCATTTGGCTCATCTTCTGCTGCTTTCCCAGGTGCCTTAGCAGGGAATTGGATCAAAAGTGGAGCATCTGGGACTTGAACCTGTACCCATGTGGGAGGCTGGCTTTGCAGGTGATGGCTTAAGCATCTGTCCCACAATGCCAGCCCTCCTTTGAATTTTTAAACAGCCGTCTAAGATGCGTCTGCAGCATTCCATGCCCTCGTACTTTTCCTCTTTTGCTTCTTCCTGCAACCTCTCCTCTGCTCCTTCCTCCTTTGCTCCGTCTTTCAGAGTTTCCATTTTACTCCTTCTGGTCCCATTTGCTGTCTCTCTGGCCTATTCCTGTGACTTGCCTCCTTGCTCCTTCCCTCTCCTCCTTCCCTCTCTTCTGGGTTGCAATCCTGCTCTTCCCTCCCTATCCCACTGCCGGGAAGGGGGTGGAGGCATTGCTGGTGCAGGATCCGGGCACCTGAGGCATCCTTTGGAGTCCAGCCCCGGACTGCTGTCTTCTGCAAGGCCTTTTGCTTTTACTGTCTCGGTGACCTCATCCTCCCAGCTCCTCTGGGGGAGGAAGCCAGTAATTGCCTTTGAATCTCAGGGGGGCTGGTTTTCTCAGGTAACGGAAGTTGAGTAGCTATTTTCCAACTCTCTTCAGGACAGCAATGGAGAGACAGAGAACCGAAGCAGGGCAGCCGAGGCGAGGCAGCTGGGGAGAATAGAAGCTGTTAGATAACAAGATGGTTCCTCCAGGGAGGAAGACAGAATGACCCAGGAGAACCATGGGAGAGTCATGTTGAGGGACCAAGTTGGGAACTGAGAGGGAAGGGACAGTTCCTGAGCTGGGGAGAGCAGAAAGTTGAGTTGTTAGCCAGTCCACGCCAGGCAGTCCCTCGTACCAGGGCCCTCAGCCTCTACCCTGGCATCTGCCAGCCCTGCCACCGGCCTGCTCCCTGCCACCGCTGCTGCCGCAGTCCTGCCAGGAGAGAGGCTTCAGGTTAGGATTCTCCTGCAGCCTCCCAGCCCTGGCACAGTCCACCGAAGGAGGCTGACTGGGGCTGGGTGGGAAAGGAACCAAGGTGGATCCAGAGAGGAACCTGATGGTACAGGACCGGGAGAAGAACTCGGAAGGGGGCTCTTCAGGAGATGTAGTTGGATAGAGCCAGGCTCCAGGTCCATGGATGCCACAGCTGCAAGAAGTCAGATTTGCAAATAATTATGATGGCTGCAGCGGGGTGATTAGGCTGCCAGCTGGTGTCAGCACCGTTTAGATTGGGCAGGGAACTTGGCTTGCTGGGCCAGGGCAGGGCGTCGCTTTGGAATTCTCTGGCACATGGAACCAGGAGCTACGGACTGTCCTCCTTTCATTCCTATATCTTGGCTCCCCATTGCAGCCCTGTTTATCAGCTTCTGCATATCCAGCTTGACACCATCTCCTGGTTCTCCCCTCAGTGTCTATCTTATCTGGAAGTATCTCAGGCCAGGGCTGAATGAGTGCGCTGCGTGCGTACACACACACCAGCAGTGTTGCCATAACTGTTAACTCTGGCCATCTCTCCATGTCAAGTTTTCAAATTCCAGTCTGAAAAGCACACTGAAAACCTCCATTCCTTCCACCACCCGCCAATACCCCCCTGCCTCCTCTGCACCTGCTCTTCTCGGAAATGCCCAGAAAGTTGCCTGTTGTTTTGATGGGCTGAGGACTGGTATGCAGGAAACTTTCCTGCCAAACTCATGGAGGTCAGGAGTTGGCCTTGCTCCGTTCTTGATGAAAGCCACACGGCTCTCTGAAGCATTCGGTCTGAGCTGGTTTGGAGGAAGCAGCGAGCTGGGCAGAAAGGATGCCCTCTGGAAGTTAAGGATCCAGGCCCAGGGGCCCTGCTTCCCTCTGCGGCCTCTGGCCTAGGCTCTGATGAAGCTGAGAATCATCAAGAAGAGTAGCTGGTAAGGTATGGGGGGAGGGCATCCCTGGACCCAGACTCCAATCCTGCTGATCGGCAGTCTGGCTGCTGGCCCCCTCACACCTGCAGACAGACCCCGGTCAAGCTTCCAGCTCCTTTTCCCAGCCCAGGTGGCCTTCCACATCTCCTGGAAGCGGGCCATCTGCTGAGAACAGCTGTTAGGAGGCAGTTTGGAGGGCTGGCGGGGTGGTCCATGTGGAGGTGGTTAATGAGCAGAATGAAATAACACAGGGAGGGGAGACAGGTGGACCAGGGAGTGGAAGGGGTTCTTCTGATACCCCCTCCTCCACAGCCTATCTCTCCCAGTTTCTCCCTCTCTCCAGGGCGCATGGCTGAGGCGGGGGTTGGGAGTGACCTGTTTGTATGCAGGGGTGGGAATCGGGATGCCCAGGTTCTTAACTGGTCTGGCTTGCTTTTCTGCCTTCCCTCCTGCGAGCCTAGCCATGCTAGGGGCATCTGCTGGGTGGAAGGGGCAAAGTGGAGTTGCTTCTAGACAGGCCACTTCTGCCCTCTTCTTCAGAGTCTCCTAGGCTGTCTTCTGCTGCACACCCATCCTGCTCTCTTAGCACTCCCTGTCATCTCCTACTGTCTTGTTCCCTACTCCCTGCTCTCCCAGCCTTGCCCTGTCCCTCACCCCAACCCAGCTCCTCTGTCCCGTCTTCTTGAGACCTCTCACTGTGACTGCTGCCTCAACCAGAGGCCTGCACCTCTCAGGCTGGCACCCCAACTCTGTCACCAGGGGCGCTATTTTTATCCTTGGAGCCACCCCCGCCACCATGCCCAGCCAGCTGCCAGGGGCTGGGGCTGCTCCTATAGCAATGGGGACTGAAGGGAGCGGGTGTGCTTGGGTGAGTGCGAGCTGGTTGCTCTTGGTTTCCGGGAGCTCCAGGCTCCACAGGCTCTGCTCCTCACTGCCTCGCTGGTCCCTGTGGAGTAACAAAGCCCCTGAGAAGTTCTGCCTGTCTGGAGGGGAGCAGGTGGCTGAGAGGCCAGAGCGCAGGTGCCTTTCTGGGCCTGAATGGAAAACCAGGATTCATGGGTGGAAGGGTGGGCCTGGGGACCTGCGTCTTCATGAATATTAGCTGAGCCGACTGCATCGTAAGCTGGCCCTGGATGGACCCAGTGTGTTGTCATGCCACATCGCATCAGGCTTCTCTGGCGACTTCCGTGGAGTCTGTGTTTACCCACTTTGGGCAAAGAAATGGGGCCTCCAAGTGACTGGCCCCAGGGGTCGCATGTTGTCTCCTGGTTTTTACCCCACGTCTTCTCTATCTTGGATCTGGAGGATTCCCTTGGTTCCTTCAACAGCTGGGATTTTAGCGCCTCAAGATCAGCCGGTTCTTCCCTTTCCCCAGCATCCTTCTTTTGTGACGGGGGCCAGAGTCTCCCAGCCTCTGTTCCTTTTCCTGAGTTGTGTTCCTCGCCGTGGAGAAGGGGCAGCTGGGGATGGGCTGAGGAAGGACACGTGATTGGGCTTCTCTCGCTCTCTCTCTCTTTAATGTATTTACTTTCTGATAGCACCCTGCCCAGGGCCAGTGACCTTCCTGCCTTTACTCTGAACAGAAAAGCTGGAGGTAGATCTATAGTGGTCCCTTTGCTGAAGTCATCACCCCTAAGTCCTGCCTCCCAGGCAGCAGGGAACCGTGTCCTCTGCTCAGACAGAGGTAGAGTGTGGTGAGGTGTGTGTGTGTGTGTGTGTGTGTGTGTGTGTGTGCATGTGCCGTGTTTTTCCCAGGAAGGGAAGCTGCTTGGCCAGTACCCCTTTCTCAGCAGGAACAGCTGTTAACAGCCAGATGAGACAGTGGTGTAGCCTGTGTGTGTGTGAGTGGGTGTAGTTCCCCTGGGCAGGCCAGTAGAGGACTGGAGGTGTTCCTAGTCTGAGAAATGACTACCTTTCCGAAGGAGGGTGGAGGGGCACACACGCCAGGACCAGAGGAAGGGGTCATGGGTTTGGTGGGGGTGAGCTGGCTTGGTTTGGAGATTTGTAAATGTCCCAGGCTGGCTACAGCCCCCTCCACACGATCCTCCCAGGCCAGCAGGTCCACATAAGAGGCCCAGCGTGGCTTCTCTCGACCCCAGGTCTCTGGGGTGGCACTTCTGGGGCTCTGGCGCTGGGTCTAGTTCGTCCTCTCTCTCAGTTTCTCTTTGCAAGCATTCTATTAGCTTGTCATGCTGTGGGAAGGTGGGACTGGGGCACAGAGCGGTTCTTTCCTGCTTTGGGCTACGAGTTCACTAGAAAACAACCTGTGAGATACTCAAGTGTCTCTTGCACTGGTTCCACTCGCTACTCAAGAGACACCTAGAAACAGCAGGTTCCTAAACTGCTTGTTTACCATCCCTCGAGGCTTGGGCACGGTGACAAGGTGTGTTAACGTCTCCCTGCTGTGGAGGGCAGCGGTGAGGGAGGGGAAAGGCTGCCCGCCGCCCAGCTCCAGCTCTCCGCCGTGTCTGCTCCTGCACCCCTGGCCAGGGACGCTCCATAAAGGGGATTGCAGAGGCCAGCAACTCTTTGCCCCGGATGCCCCGCCCAGTCCCCCCAACCGACCAATCGCAGCCTCGGAGTTCGCGTATCGGTGACGTCACCGTTCAGCTAATCGCTGGGAGGCTGGCGCTGGGTGCGCACGTCCACTTGGCGCCACGGGCGGGTTTGGGGGGTTCCGCTGCTTTGCTCTGCAGCCAGAGCCAAGGGTGCAGCGGCAAGAGGGGGATCCTGGTCCCCGGAACGCGCCAGGCTGCTCTCCTTTGGCCTCTTTGAGCCATTTCGTCGCTTCTCTCCCTCTGCGCCAGACTGGCCTCTCCGACTCATCCACTGTTCTGCCCCAAATCCCATTTCACAGATGAGAAAAGTGGGCCTGGCAATGGGGAAGCTGCGTGCACATCCTTGTGATTTGGATAAACAAGTTCTCGTGGCTTTCACTCATTGCAGGGGACGGGAGGCCCTTCCCTCTGTCTTCAGCAAGCCCCCCTTACCCCTGCCCTCCCCCGCTACACACCTGTAGTGTCCAGTGGCCCGTGGGAGGTGCAACCTTCTGTCTTATTTTCTTTCTCTTGCGTGGGTGAACGTTCTTTTTTGGAGAACGGTCCTGGACAAAGACCCGGACAGGAGCCTGCATTGCACCTTCTGGGCTGGAATGGGGTCGGGTGGGGGCTCTTGTGAGGGACCCCCTTGCCTCCACTGTAGATTTCCTTTCCCTGGATGGCCTCTTGTCCCCGTGTCCCCAAGTCTCCCGCTAACCCCTTGTTCCCAAAGGCGAGCCCCACCTCCTCGGAGCAAGGGGCTGGCCTGTGCTATTTCTGGCCTTTCTGGGACTCTTCTGACGGCAGATTCTTGTTTTCGGTCTGATTCAGATGTGAAACTTTTCCCGCGGCCTCTCACCCGGTTCCTGTGGGCTGGGTCTCTGCCTCATCACTCCCTACTTCCTGGGGCCAGGCCCCTCCCCAGAGCTGTCTCTGGTTAGTAGCTCAGTTCTTCTGGGACCTGGAGGAGGAAGTTAGGGGCCCAAGAGGGAGTTGTTCCCCCAGGGGGGCCTTGGAGGCCCTGGGGTCTGCGGCTTGGACACCTGCAAGAGGAAGCTCGGATTCCCATGGCAAGCCGTGCTCCTGTTCAAAGGAGCCACCTCCAGGGCCCCATCCTCAGGTAGGTGCTGGGGAGGAGGACACAGGAGGACAGGAGGAGGATGAGAGGTTGCTGGTGGCTCTACCAGCTCCAATGTGGCGGGGGTGGGGTGGGTGGGTGGCGCAGGAGCTGACACAGGACCCTGTGAGTTTGGGGGTACATGCGTGCCACTTTGTCCACCTTTCCATCCCTGCACCTTATCCCCCACCCCTTTCCATTGCACTTGCCTTCCTGCCATTTGCTCATGTGCGTGAAAGACTGAACAGCAGTGACCCCTCCCCACCCCACCAGCTTTCTCTCCTTCTAATCCCAGCATCCTGGGCACTTTACATTGCATTGAAATGTTCTCATCTTGTCTTTAAAAAACTCAAACCATAGACGCAATTCTTCTCTGAGCGCCCAACCCCTGTCTTGAAACTGCCCTGCTCTAAGTCTCCTACATAGCCGTGGTCTGTTAGGGAGAGTCGGGGCGGGGGAGTTGCAAGGCATGGCTGGGGGCATTGGAAATTCCCAGGCCACTGCCAGCCATGTGGTGCTCCGAAGCACCAGGCGGGTAGGCCGGGGATGCTGAGCTCCTTAGAGATACTGAGGTGGTTACTGTGAAAATTTTTCCTTCCAGTTGACCACCCAGAGCTGGGAGAGACCAGGGCCTTTTGCGGGGCTGGGAGCTGAAGCTTTTCCCATTGCATGGGGACTGAAGGTAGAGGAGAAAGAGGTGGTGTGATGAAGTTGGGGCAGGAAGCCATGGACCGGACAGGGCTGGGCATTGTCTGTGCCCGGCTCATTGAGGGCTGAACCCTAGGGGCTGGGTGACAGCTGATGTGGGGTGGGAAGGAGAATTTCCAGCAGAAGAAGGGAGACGTGAGGGCTTGGGTGAGTTTTGGGGAGTTCTTCACCCTGAAGAACTTTCAAGCTAAGAGAGGTCTCTCAAGCCAGCAAGTACTGTATGTGTGTGTGTGTGTGTGTGCGTGTGCGTGCTCAATTGTATGAATATGTGTGTGCGTGTGCACGTGTGTGCGTAGAGGCCGAATCTGACTTCAGAGGGGTGCAGTTCAGCACCTGGCTCCCTTCAGCGGCCTTCTTTCATTTATCAAATTTATTCTTCCATCTTTCTTTTCCCTTCCTACCTCCCTCCTACCTTACCTCACCCAGCCCCGCCCCGGTGTCTGGATAATGTTGAGATTTCAACAGTAGCTATACCGGTGCTCCTGGCTGGAGTCTGCAAGTGAGGCTGGAGAGACTTGGAGGATGAGGTGTGTTGTCCATCGGTGCACCCACAGTGACCTGCCTCCTCCATGGAGAGAGTCGCGGAAGCCTGGCTCCCAAGTGTCAGCTGCAAGTTCTGGGCACTCAACTTACACCTGATTAATCTGCCTCCTCTCCCTTTTATTTACTTAATGAACTTTTTCTGGGCACGTCCTGTGTGCTCTGAGGATGGCTAAGATAAACAAGTTCCCGTTAGTGCCTCCAGTCCCTGGGCTGACACCAAGGCTTCGTTAAGTGGCAGGAACTGGAGAAGCCAGTCCTCTCTCCAGACTGACACCATGCTTGGTCTTGCCCAGACCCACCGCCTTCCTTGTTGTGGGGCACTGCTCAGGCCCATGGTTGTGAGCTATGGGCCTTGCTGATCTGACGGATGTGGACAAGTTGTTTTACCTTGGGCAAGTCATGGAGCCTCCATTCCCAAAGTGCTTGTGAAGATCAAATGAGGTTTGTAATTGTCAATCGGAGGTCATGGTCATTGTCATCCTCCCTTCTCTGTCCGTGCTAGGCTTCTCTCCCTGGACTTGGGATACAGGAAGCAGGTGCTTGTTGGGATTTAAAAAAAAAGATTTTATTTTTTATTGGAAAGACAGATTAAAAAAAAAGATTTATTTATTTTGTTGGAAAGGCAGATCAGATTTACAGAGAGAAGGAGAAACAGAAAGATCTTCCATCTGGTTTATTCCCTAAATGGCTAAAACAGGTGGGGCTAAGCTGATCTGAAGCTAAGCCAGGAGTTTTTCCCGGGTCTCCTAAGCAGCTGCAGGGTCCCAGGGGGCTTGGGCTATCCTCTGCAGCTTTCTCAGGCCATAAGCAGGGAGCTGAATGGGAGGTGGAGCAGCCAAGACATGAATTGGCACCCAAATGGGATGCTGGCACTTGTAGGTGGAGGATTAAAAAGTTGAACCATTGTTCTGGCCCCTATAACCTTTTTTTTTTTTTAAAGATTTATTTATTTACCTGAAAGGCCCAGAGAGACAGATATCTTCCATGAACTGGATTGCTGTTCACATGCTTGCCACAGTCAGGACTAGATCACTCTGAAGCCATGAGCCGGGAACTCTGTCCAGGTTTCCCAAGTGGGTAGCAAGAAACCAAGTACTTGAGCCCTCACCCGCTGCCTCCCAGAGTTCCTGGGCAGGAAGCTGGGTGGAATGTAGAGGCAGGATTTGATTTCAGACTCTGAGATGTGGGATGCCGGTGCCCCAAGTGGCAGCTTACCGTGCTGCATCGCAACACCGTCTGGTTTGTTAGAGAATGGTGTGAGTTGAGTGGGATAAATATGATGCTGGTTGTTAATTCCCGTAGAGATCCCATTTATGGAGATTCTTGTATGTGCCAGGCCTTCCACCTGCATCCCTCCGTGTAATACTCCTGTTAATACCCCTGTGAGGTGGTTTAGTGTCATTCTCAAATTTTTACAGATGAGATGATTAAGGTTCTGACTTAAAAGTCCTCAGACTTCTTAGTGTACATTCGACATCTTTGTGGGGTGTTTGGAAATGCAGATCCCCCGGACCACACCCTCAGAAAGTCCGATTCTGCAGGTGTGCAGTGACTCTAGGATTGCTGTGGTTTTCCAAAGATTGTTTATTGAAGACAGAGAGCGCTGCCACCTGCTGTTGTGCTTTTTGGCTGCATCCTGGAGCCTCAAGCTCTCCCCTGTGGGTGACCAAAACTCCATGGCCTGAGCCATCACCTGTGGCCTTTCAGGGTGTGCATTAGCAGAAAGCTGGAGCCAGACCTTGAAACTCCAGGGGGGGAGGTGGGAGTGTTAACCTGCACCTTCACTGCTGGGACACACACCTGCTCCATCTGTGTTACGAGTAGGTATTCAAGGTGATGGTAGTGCTGGAGGCTTATGGCCACATTTTAGTAAATATGGATCAAGTGTTAGTGACTTGCCCAAGAACTCAGGGCTGAGTGAGAGCAAGAGAGAGAACACGCTTTGAACCTGGGGTTGCCGCTCCATGCCAGACCATCCGTGCTTCCTAAATCTTGTGTTTTGCACAGAGTGGGGTTGCAGTTCTTCCCCTAGCTTCCCCCTGCGCAGGCCCATCGTGAGAATAAAATGAACGATATAGGAGAACAGACTTCTTAAAATGTAGAGCTGGCAGCATTGTTAGTGCTTATGCAGATTCATGCAAATGAGCATGCATGGGCGTGGCTGTTCACTTTGGGATGTGTGTTGTAAGAGTTGGGTCAGTCGAGAAAGAAGCTGGGAGAGTTTTAGTGGTAGGCAGTGACCCTGGTAGAGAGGGGTGGGAGCAGAGGAGGTGGGCCGTGTCCCATGGCTGTGCCTGGGGCCCCAAGGCACAGTGCCTCCATTCTATGATCTCTTGTTGGGATTCTGTAAGAATCTGGAACACTCTGGCTGGTAACTCTTTCCTGGCTGCTTGACCTAAGAGAACCATTCCTGATGTCTACTTCTGTTCCTCCTTCCTCGTGAAGCCAGAGCTGTGCTTTGCTCACACCACCCTCTCTGTCTCTCAAACATCTGGCTGCTCCCACATGGGTACTGGCAGCAGACGGGCCTGGAAGTGGGACGCGAAGGCAGCCCACTGAACAGGCTGCAGTGCCGGTTTGGCCCGTTTGCTCTGCCAGCCCCTGGAGGCTCGGCCCAAGCTGCTGCCTGGAGCTGGCTGTTTTGGGTGAGACCCCAGCACTCTAGAGCTACTGCTGTTCAGGAATGCTATGCTCCTCCCTCCCCCAGCAGCCCGGAATCGATGCTAATTTCAGCCTCTGGTCCCTGACTCACTCTCTCCTGACTCACAGGGTGACCTTGGGTTTCTGAAGCCCCTTTGGGTGGGGGAGTTGGGATGGCTACCATTTTACGCTGCTTTGGGAAGGAGTGGGTATGGAGCCAAAGAGGGCGGGGTGGCGGGGACTTTAAAAATTGTCGTCTAAACTCAGAGAGCTGAGCTTGCACTGTGAATGTCTGAACTTGGACTCATCAGACTTCCACCAGGCCTTCTGGTTGGTTCCTCACCCATCCCCAGGCTTCCTAAATGCCACAACTGAGGGCACTGCCCTTTAAGGCAGAACTGGCAGTCCACGAGATCCTAGGCCCTGGCTCACCACATCCATGGGGACTGAGATGGGGGAAGTGTCGACTGGGCACAGGTGCAAGGACCAGAGGTTGCCTGTGGTGCCAGGTGGGGAGGCAGGGGTTAATCCAGCTCTGTCCTGGTTGATGGATTCTGGAATCATAATCCATTAGCTCTGCTTGCATGGAGTGAGGCCAGGCGGGAGCATTCAGATGGGTCTTTGTTCTGAGCCCTGGCTGTCCCCACCAGTGACAGAGGGGATGTGGATGCCCCTCCCTGTCTTGAGCTAGAGACAATGAAAGAGCCTACCCCCCCACCCCCCGAGAGAGAGAGAGAGAGAGAGAGAGAGAGAGAGAGAGAGAGAGAGAGAGAGAGAGAAATTCAGAGCTTGATTATTCAGCCTAAGAGACGGATCACTGCACCACCACCTACTCTCAAAATCACCTGAGGTGCTTGCACCTGCCTAATTGTGCTGGGTCCTGCTGTCTTGGGTAAGAGTTTGGCTGGATGGTTGGTGTGGAGAGGCAAAGGCAGGGGCAGGAGAGCCTGGGCTTAAACTTTAAGGGTGATTGAACCTGATGGAGGCAGCAAGGTGGAAAATGTGGCTGCTGTGGTCGGGGTTGTTATGAACTGATGTGCACAGACACACAAGCGTGTATCTGTCATATGTCCTCTGGAGGGGCTTGGGGGGTGGTGTGTGTGACCCAGGAGCAGGGTCTAAGCTGGCTGCTTGGTGCCACTGCCCACAGGCTGCGTTACATGGTGAAGCAGCTTGAGAACGGGGAGGTGAATATCGAGGAGCTGAAGAAGAACCTGGAGTACACGGCGTCTCTGCTGGAGGCCGTCTATATCGATGAGACACGGTGAGCATGGGACCCATGGAGAGGTAGACATGGTGCACCAGAAGATGGAGGAAGTCAGGAAGCTGGAGATAGGACTGAGCCACCAGGGCAGCGATGGGAAAGAAGAGGCAGGTGTAAGCTAGGGAGAGGAGAGATGACATGAGGGAGAGGAGACTCCTATTGGAAAGCACCCTAAATCTCATCTGGTCCTGACCCTCCTGGAGTGCAAAGGTCTAAATGCATTGTAGCTTTTATTTCATTCAGAGGGAGAAAGGGCGAGAGGGAGTGCTTCTATTTGCTGGTTCACTCCCTAGGTTCCCACAAGAGCTGGGACTGCGCCAAGCTAAACCTGACTGGCGGTTGGGAACTCAACCCAGGTCTCCCACGTGGGTGGCAGGAGCTCAGTTAGAGGAGGGTGTGTGTGTGGGCAGGATGCTGGAGTCAGCAGCCAGAGGCGGGTATGAAACCCACGTGCCCCCATGTGGGCGTCTCATCTGCTGGGCCAGACAGCTGCCCCCGGTGTGGAGTTCCTCCAGACCCCTCCTGTCCCGCGTGAGGGCCCTGAGTCCTAGCATTGGATCTTGAAATGTGGTGAGAATGAATTGAAATTTCTGTAGAAAAGACATGCTGTGTTTCAAAGACTTAGGGGAAAAAAAAGAATTGTGCAATATGTCACTCAAATATTTTATATTGATTCACGTTGAGATGACAATATTTTGGAGGTATTGGGTTAAATAAACTTTATCATGAAGACAAACCTCCCCCGTTTCTTTTGATCTGTTGTAGCAACTAGAGAACTTAAAATGTCATATATGCTTGCATGCCGTTTCTTTCTCCTGAACAGAACTGCTCTGTAGCACCCTGATAGATGCTATTCCGTTTTCCTGCTTGAACACTCCCATAGCTGGGGAGCTCACTCTGCCACCCCCATACAGCATGACCTGCTGCTTTACTGGGGACAACAGGTAGAATAGAAAGAATCAAGGAAAGGGAGACAGTGTCAGTGTTGCTGAGCATGGGGTGTGGCTGGGCTGTGGAGAGCAACACCTGCTATCCTCCCCGCCCCCCACTCTCCTTCTGGGGCGTCAGGCAAATCCTGGACACGGAGGACGAGCTGCAGGAGCTGCGGTCAGATGCGGTGCCTTCGGAGGTGCGCGACTGGCTGGCCTCCACTTTCACGCAACAGACTCGTGCCAAAGGCCGCAGGGCGGAGGAGAAGCCCAAGTTCCGTAGCATCGTGCACGCCGTGCAGGCTGGGATCTTTGTTGAACGGTGAGACAGGACCAGGCTTGGCTCCTCCCTCCTGGTCATCCTGGTCTGCTCTGAGCCCCCAAGCCCTGTGTTCCTGATCCCACACAGCTGTACCTGGCTACGTCCCTGCTCCTCAGACCTTTCTACCTGGGGTTCCCGCCCCCATCCCTGCTACTGTTTTCTCTTAGGATGTTCCGGAGAACATACACCTCCGTGGGCCCCACCTACTCCACCGCTGTCCACAACTGTCTCAAGGTGATGCATGTGATGGTGGGAGAAACGGAGAGACAGGAGGGGTTGGGGGATGGGACAGCGCTTGAGACCTGTGGAATCCCTCGCCATCTCCCTGCTTCCCATGTCTCCATAATCACTGGGAAGTCCTCCTCAAAATCCAACTCCGACCCTTGCTGCTGTGTCCAACCCCTCCTGCTGGCTGCATTCTTTCTCTGCAGAATCTGGACCTCTGGTGCTTTGATGTCTTTTCCTTGAATCGGGCAAGCGAAGACCATGCACTGAGGACCATTGTGTTTGAGTTGCTCACTCGGCACAACCTCATCAGCCGCTTCAAGGTTGGGCAGCACCCTGTTCTCACATTCCCATTCCCAGCTCCCCCCACCTCGCACTCCCACACTGCCCCTCCCACTCCCCCTCCTTCCACAGCTCCCTCCCACCCCACCCTGACTTTTTGAGGTCCTGTCTTCTAACTTGGTTGATTTGCTGGTCTGCAGCAGGGGTTCTGCTTTCTCTGCACCCCAAGGTGTCCTCTCTAGGCTGTCCCACTTTCCAGCTGTTCTGTCATTTGCTTGTGGACCTTTCCCGGGCCCCAGACCTAGAGTCTGTACATTGCAGCTTGCTGGACCCTTTGGGACTAGAGTCTCTCTCTTAGTTTCCTGCCCTCCCCCACACCTTAGGAGGTAGAGAAGAGGACAAACTTGACCCTTCCTCCCTCCTTCCCTGGGCAGGGCCTTCCCTAGGGAGCTGGGTTGCGTGAGCACTATTGCATCTTCAGCTTGGCTAGACAGGAAGAATAACAGGGATTAAAGACTTCTCCAGGCCCTGTGCTGGGAACAGCATCTTTTGAGAGGGATGTTTCTGCAGGGACAAAGCGCACATGGGAGCTGGGGCCGAAGGGGGCTGTTGCCCAGTCTCTCCGGGGCCAGAGGCAAGGGACTGTTGAAAGCAGCTGTCCCAGAAGGTGATGACCTTAGAAAGGTTGATGCCTCCACAGTCTGTGTCCTGTGAGCCTGCCATGACTCTGACCCTAACCCTGCCTCTAATAGCAGCTCCCCAGAGATCCGCCTGCTCCCTGCCATCCCTGGGTTGTTCCCTTGGGTCTTCCAGAGTCCTGGATGGCTGCCATGTCATGTTCTTCCTTCCAGTCCTGCTCTTTCTGGGAGACAGAACGGCAGGCTGTCCACTCCTTAGTCTTTTGTCAGCTCCTGTTTCTGCAAGCTGGTTCTCGTTTGAACTCTGAGAAGCACCTGCTTCTTCTATACTCCGCCTCCTTAACCTGATAGCATGGGCTCTGGCAGTGTGGCTTAGACCCAGTCCCAGTCTGCCTTGCTCTGAGGCTGCTAGATGAGATGGCGTATATGTGGAGACCCCAGTTGGTGGAGCTATCCTTCTCAAGCTGCCCGTTTTCCTTCTCTGGCACTCGCCCCTCCTCTGCTCCTCCCTTTTTCATCCCTTCCCTTCCCTTCAGGGACGCTATGGCAACGCAAAAGCAAGGGCAGTTGTCATGGAAACAGTCCTTTAAATTCCCTGAATTTGGGGCACAGCCCTCCAGGGGTAGAGGTGGGGACGATAGGGTCTGCCTGTGTGCTTCTCCAGTGTCTTATACCACTCTGTGGTTTTCCTCACACTATCAAGTCCAGAGCCTTCGTTCCTGCCCCATTGCAGGAGATGCAGAGGCAGGTGGAGAGACCCCAACCCCAGGGCTGTGGGAGCCCTGAGGCTGAGCCACGGTTGTACTCAAGGACAGGGCGGAGTTAGAAGTCCTTGCTTGGAAGTGCTGGCTGTGGCTGTGTGTGTGTGTGTGTTGCACATTGTGTGTCAGCGCATATGGCCACGACGTGGTCAGGGAAGGCGTCTCAGAGACGTTGGTCCACATCTGGCAGCCAGGGTTCATGCCGGGTTGCTCTTTCTCCTACTCCTGAGTTCTCCATGCTGCTCCGTTTGGGGCTGGGGCAGGGCAGTGGGATGGTAGGAAGGAAGGTAGGAGGGAAGATAGGAGGGAAGCTTTCTTTTATCAAGACTCTCCAGGGAAATAATAATAATTATATCTACTCTTTAGAGTATTGACTAAGTGCCTTGCACTTATCTCATTCAATTTCAGGTAGGTGGTATGAGCTGCCTACAGGGAGGCACGTGACTTGCCCAAGATCACTCAGCTAGCAGGTGGTGGAGCCGGGCTGTGAGCCCAGGTTCATCTGCCTGTGGGTGCCTATTGCCCTCCCAAAGAAGGGTGGAACTGCTGCAGTTAGTTCTGCAGCTCCTGGACATGGCTCCCCGACCTCCCTCTGCTGCAGATTCCCACTGTGTTTCTGATGACCTTCTTGGATGCCCTGGAGACCGGCTACGGCAAGTATAAGAACCCTTACCACAACCAGATCCACGCAGCTGACGTCACCCAGACTGTCCACTGCTTCTTGCTGCGCACCGGGATGGTGGTAGGTGGGCCTTCCCTCTTCTCTGAGATGCAGCCCTGGCATGGATTGACAGACTCACTTGACAGGATTCCTGGGGTGGGAGGACTGGGAGGCTCAAAACTTCATGGGGACTTGTGCTGTGATGGAGATGTTGCAGGTTGGAGGTGGAGATTGGGCACTGAGGCATCTGGGAGCTGGCACTGGGGGATGGAAGGAGGGGTGGCCCGGGCATGCACAGCTCTGGGCGGTGACTGGCGGCGGGCTGGCTGTCTCCCTTCCTGCCTCTCTCATTTCAGCACTGCCTGTCAGAGATCGAGGTCCTGGCCATCATCTTTGCCGCGGCCATCCACGACTATGAGCACACGGGCACTACCAATAGCTTCCACATCCAGACCAAGTGAGGGTTGGGGTGTGGCAGGGCCAGGAGGAGCCCTGTGAAGGTGGGGTGGGGGTGGGGCAGGGTACAGTCTGGACACGGTCGCCTTCGGCCACGTGTGCAGGTCGGAGTGCGCCATCCTGTACAACGACCGCTCGGTGCTGGAGAACCACCACATCAGCTCCGTTTTCCGCATGATGCAGGATGATGAGATGAACATTTTCATCAACCTCACCAAGGACGAGTTTGTGTGAGCAGAACCAGTCCTGGATGTTGCCCCACTCTTCCACCCCTGCCCGCTTCCCAGACCTCCTACCCCACCAGGGTGCACGGTGTGCCGATCATGTCTTCTGTGGTCTCTCCAGAGAGCTGCGGGCCCTGGTCATCGAGATGGTGCTGGCCACCGACATGTCCTGCCATTTCCAGCAAGTGAAGACCATGAAGACAGCACTGCAGCAGCTGGAGAGGTGGGGTGGGGTGGAGTGGGGTGGCAGGGCTGAGCCAGCAGGGTGAGATGGGGGTGTGAATGGGGGAGTCATTGTATGTGAATGTAGCCGATGACCAGGGCTTTAGCTGTCCCCACTCCAGGTGTGAGAGTTTGTACGTGTATGCATGTGTGTGCACACGTGTGTATGTGAATGTGTGTATGTGTTCACAGGTGTGTGTGTGTGTGTTTAACTGGGGAGTGCCTGGGGCTGAAGTCTGAGTCAGGAGAGTCTGTCACCGGTTCAAGATGGGAAGCCGGTGAATGTAGGGGTGCTTCATCAGCACACCCCACCCTCCACCTTCTCTGTGAAGGAGTGAGACGCCTCCCTCTTCACGCCTTGCGACTTGTCCTGTTTCAGTAGGCCCACTGGGAGAGCCCTGAGGGGGTTATAAAAAAACACCAAGGCAGGACAGAACAAAGGCCGTTGAGCACTGAATGCTGCTGTGAGGTGGGTGAGGGTGAGCCAGCTGTGTGTGTGCACGCGGTGACTCCGCGGGTCACCCTCGAGGATATCACCATGATAATGAGTGACCATGACAGCTGCTCGGCACTTAGTGTGAGCCAGCCGCTCTCCCCAGTCCTCGGCTGTTAGGTGCCATTTATTTCTCAGAACGGCTCAGTGTGTGGTGGGGTGGGTGCTTTTCCGTAGTAGGCTCGAGAAAAGGGAGATGTGGAAACAGCGGTGATGTGTGGCGAGTACTAGGTGAGGTGCAGATTCAAGCCCAGACATGAGGAATTCAGGAGTTAGTATTTCTTCCAGCTGTGCTGCTGGGGCTTCGGGGAGTTCACGGGGACGGGATGCAACCATGAGAGAAAAGATTGAAATGCACGCATGGGTGCTTTTATGTTTTATTTTTTTCACAATGTGCATGCATTTCTCATGAGTTTTTTGATGAACTCTCCTTATGCTTGGAATTAGAAGTTTATGTATTTTTTGCACTGAAATAAATCTCTTTCAGTTCCTTTTCCCTGACCATTGGGGCGTACCTTGTGTGGGTGTGTATGCACACGAATGGGTTTGAGAGAGGGCATGAGATGGGGCGTTAGGCAGTGGTTGAGGGTTCCTTTCTCTAAAATACCAGCCCCGCTTCCTTTGCCCTCTGCCCCACCCAGGATCGACAAGCCCAAGGCTCTGTCTCTACTCTTGCACGCTGCTGACATCAGCCACCCCACCAAGCAGTGGCCGGTGCACAGCCGCTGGACCAAGGCCCTCATGGAGGAATTCTTCCGCCAGGTAGAATCTTGCCCACCCCCTGCCCTCTCTTCTCACTCAGCTCGGTCCTCCTCCTCTGGATCACCCTATGTGTGATCCCGTATGTGTGAGAAAGAGATCTCATTATCCTTAAGTCTCATGGTGGTCGCCGATAGCTTGTACTCCATTTACATGTCACTCGTTTCCAGGTCCAAAGTGAGGAATTTCCCCCTCATCACTTGCTCCAGCAGCCCCTTCCCATCCCCACCTGCACCCCAGGCCTGTTAAGGCTGAAGTGTCCACTCTCGCTTCCCCACAGGGTGACAAGGAGGCTGAGCTGGGCCTGCCCTTCTCTCCGCTCTGTGATCGCACCTCCACTCTGGTGGCCCAGTCCCAGATAGGTGAGTGTCCCCGTCCTGCTGGGAGGATGGGGTTGGGAAGGGGTCCTCCCACTGTCCAGAGGGGGCTGGCATTGCTCCAGGAGCATAGGTTCCCCCATAGGTAAGGGGCAAACCTGCTTTGTCAGAGCCGGGAGATGGGGGTAGGAGGGCAGGGGCTGCTTAGAGTGGGAAGGTGGCATATCATCGCAATGCCTGCTGCCACTTGCCAGCCCAGGTGACCTCTGTGCACCCAGGGGTGGCCAAGACACCTCTGGCATGTGACTCTGTACCCTGCAGGTTTCATTGACTTCATAGTGGAGCCCACATTCTCTGTGCTGACTGACGTGGCTGAGAAAAGCGTGCAGCCCCTGGTGGATGATGACTCCAAGTCTAAAAATCAGCCCAGGTGAGGATGGCTGGGGGCGGCCGGTCAGGCTCTGGGTTCTGGGCCATACACATGATCTGCCCGCTGGATGGGGTGGTGGCTGTGGCAGCGGTGAGGTCCCTCTGCTAGCTATAACGTTGGGGCCAGGTGCACTGTGCACCTGTGCTGACCTCCCTGCTTTATCTCTCCCTTTTTGTGTTGCCTTGTGGGAGAGACAGGGTGGCGAAGGGGTATAGGCGGAAAGGACAGGGACTTTAGGCTCCCAGTCTGGGGCGGTGCTGGGCTGGGCTAAGTCTCATGGCTGGGGTTTGCTTTTAGCTTCCAGTGGCGCCAGCCTTCTTTGGACGTGGACGTGGGTGACCCCAACCCTGACGTGGTCAGCTTCCGTTCCACCTGGACCAAATACATCCAGGAGAACAAGCAGAAGTGGAAGGAACGGGCGGCCAGTGGTGGGTGCTCTGGGGGTGCAGGTTGGGGAGATCCACTGGAGGCAGCTGGTGGGACCTTAGCAGATCATAGCGGATCTGTTTTCCTTAAGCCTCTGAGGCAGCTCTGTCATTTTTGGCAATTGGGAACACAACTAATTGGACTAGGGTCAGAGTCCAGGAAAGACTGAACAGCTCAACAGGTCTGGAGAGAGGCTGGGAACTGCTATAGCATTCTACAACCCAGGGGCCTCCAGAGTCACAGGGGGTTGCTGCAAATGGGGTTCCCTGTAGATGTGGGTGGGCCCGGCTGGGACGTCCTTCCTTCACACGGGGCCAGAGAGGCTATCTCGTGTGACCTGGGCTTGGGGGGGGATGGGGACAGGTCAGTGGTGATCTAGCCCTGCCTCCCCTTTGCAGGCGTCACCAATCAGATGTCCATTGATGAGCTGTCACCTTGTGATGAGGAGGCCCCATCCTCGCCTGCGGAAGATGAACACAATCAAAATGGGAATCTGGACTAGCTCTGCCTGGGGCCGGCCCGGGTGAGCCAGGGCTCAGGAGGGGGCTGGGTGGCCACCATGGCACCGCTCATCAGTTGTCTGCAGGGGGTGATGGGGAATGGTGCATGGAGGTGAGGGTCTCCCTCACCCTTTCCCAAGGGAAGAGAGAGGAAGCGAAGGTGACATGTGGAGGGAGTCCTCCCACCGTTGCGGTTCCTTGGCTCCTGCAGGAAGGGAGGCACGGCTTCCCCACATGGGAGCAGGCACGTGGGATCTGTACCTGCTGCGGCTCCCTCCATGTGCAGCCCGTTGGGGGTGAGGGAAGTGGTGCTGGCCCAGATGCCAGGCCGCGGGGAGGTTGGCAGAACCGGATTGTTCCTTCTGGCCTCAGCTCACGCCCTTGGTGGGTCACCTTCCCCAGGGCACTTTTGCATAGCCCTGCATGGGAGCTGGGGCCTGCCTGGGCTTGGAGGACCGGTGAGCCTGCAGATGGAGGCAGCCTTTGCACGCTCAGGCCTTGACCTCTTCCCCCAGGTCCTCGCCGAGGCCAGAGTGCTTGATGCCATCAGCACCATCCATCGGGACATCTGCTCCAAGGGGCGTGGAGGTGGCCCGAGGGACCACCCACCCAAAGGCCACGTGGATTCTCTGGATTGTGGGTCCGGGGAAGGGCCCCTTCCACCTGCCACCCTTTGGGGCCCACTTTAATCCCTGGGCAGCAGGATTGGGAAACACGAGGCTCCCAGTGGTCACTGTGCCCCGCCCCCTGCCTCTGGCCCCCTCTCATGGTCATGGCTGCCTGGGAGGGAGCCGGGGTGCCTCCCGGCCATGGGGAGGGGGAGGTCAGAGCTGCCAGCGCCCCGGGCCCTCCCCCATCCTTTTTGCCTCCAAGTTTCTAAGCAATACATTTTGGGGGTTCCCTCAGCCCCCCACCCCAGATCTTAGCTGGCAGATCTGGGGCCCCCTTCTCCTCCCTACCCCATGGGGAAGGGCTGAAGTAGGATAGAAGGCTGGGGTTCCCTGGCCCAAGTGTGGGGTGCAGAGGGGCATGGCTGCTCCCTAGGCCCTGTAAGTGTGGGTGGGAGGCGGCAGCCCCTGTACCCACACTTATTCTACTTCAGCCAGACTTTCTGCCGTTTACCCCTGCCCTATCCCCTCTACCATTCTGAAACAGAGAAGCCAGGAGGGCCAGGGGCTGGAATGAAGCCTTTTTTTTTTTTCTGGGGAGGGGGAGGTCCTCTAGGCCTGACCTAGAGGATAGGGGGCTGGGTTCTTGGTGCCCCCTTCCTCCTCCTAGTGCTAGGAGGCTCCTGCCGACCAATGTCTGTAAAGGGTCTGGGTGCCTTCAGGATGGGTCTTGGCGCTCAGGCTAGAGGGACTAGGGTGGGAGGCGAGTGTGAGGTGTGGTGCCCGACAACAGCGTCCCTGGCCAGGGATGCTGGGGCCGTGATGGGCTGAAGGTGGGTGGGTGGGGGGCTCCACGCTGCTACTGCTGCTGCTGCCACCACCCGCCAGATCCTATGCTGCCCCCTCCTCTCTTTGGGCTCCCCCTCGTCCCAGGTGACCGCCCCCCCACACCCGCTGTCCTTGTACATACCAGCCAAGCATTTGTACAGTTGCCTCCCCTGTGCGTGTACACTCTATGTCCTTGGTCTCTGAGACCCACCAGCCCAATACTAGTCCCAGACGCATGTGACTCACACCCACCCCAGGTCTCCCATACCCCCACTATAGCCAGAGATCAATAAAGAAGGGAGACCGGGTCTGTCTGTGTGTGGGGTTTGCTGAGTGATGTCAAGTGAGCACCATAGCATACACCGGCTTCTGGAAATTCTGGAAGACTCAGGGTGGGGAGGTTCCCAGAACGCAGAAGTAGGCAAGCTGTAGACCCTGCCCCTGGCCTCACAGTGGGGCAGGTGCATGGCTCACATGGGACCCTGACCTTGTCTTTGGGTCTGCTATTTGTGGCTCCCTCATCTTCCCTTCTGTTGCCTGGGCAAGACAAACAGGGACGGCAGAGACACTGTGGGATGTGTAGGATGCTTGGTTTATGCCTTTCCTTTGCCCCTCTGTGTCTGGGACAAAGGGAGACACGACTGTTCCCATTCCTGGACTTTGTGTGTGTGCTAATGGACTGGAATGAGGGAGCTGGAGAAGGGAACACATCCTTCAGGAAGGCAGCAGGGTCTGGGAAGCACCCACACGCCTTGTCAGAGTGCAGTTCCCCACATCGTCCAGCAGGAGACGCTCGTGGCGCACAGTGACAGCGTGAGCGCTCCCAGTTTCGCAGGTGCACGGCGGCCCTCCTGCCAGATGGCAGCATCTTCCCCTAGCCTCATCCCACAGGCTGCCCAGGCTCAGGGTTGGTGACTGTGCAGAGAGAATTCTCCGAGTCCAGGAAAAGAAGTAAAGTGCCAACGACCTAACACCAAATTTATCACTTTTTAAAAACGAGATGTTTTTTTCCAAAAAGTGAGAAAGTAAGAAACAGATCCAGTGTCAGTGCATGCCCCAACTGTGGTCTCCATCTAGGATACCTCCTCCTTCTCTCTCAGACCTGTCATGGGGGTAAAAAGAAAAGGTGAGCACGAGGCCCAGGGGCCATCTGGTTCCCTCACCTGCTGGTCTGCCCTACAGCCCACCTGCCAAGCACCCAGCACGACGAGAAAGCCAGTTCTGCTGTCTGATAACCACTTTCAGTCCATTGCCAGTCGATGGCTGTGTGTGTATTCACAGAACAGACCAGGAGGTCCCATCACACACAGCCTACCCAGCTTGGGAAGGTGAGGAACACCCTTTGGGAACCAGTGCTCTTTGTCTGTGTGCAGTCACCCATCACCCATTCCAGGATATGGAGGTCCTACAGCGAGTCTGACCTCAGTGCCCCCTGCTGCAGTGTGGTCCCTCTGAGGACAAAAAAAAAAAAAGCCCTCTCATCACAGAAGACAGTGTCTCAATGACAAAAGTTCCCCTTGCCCCTCAGCATGTGGCCTGTTCCTCGGGGTCCTCCTTACCGCGCTGGCTCCCTGGCAGTCCGGTGGCTTCGGGGTGGTGGGGTCCCCTGTGCCAGCTTCCTCACTGCGCCTCTCCTGAGCTCTGGGGCTGGGCTGTGCAGGCTCTAGGAAGGGAGAGGTAGTATTGGGGAAGGGGCCTTGGCTGGTTGGCAGTGCATTGCTCGTGGAACCCTGTGCTGCAGGCAGTGGGGAGAGGCGCCCAGGACGCATGGTGCATGGTCTCTGATCTCCATGGCTGCCTTGGGTTCTCTGCTTCTTTAAATCTGCTATCGACAAGTGCAAAAACAGAACAGAAAGCCACCCCCCCCAAATAAACCTCTGCAGAAAGTTAGGACACGGAGTAGACAATGTACAGCTCCAAAGGACCTGGACTGCTGGCCAGCGCCTTCTAGTCTGTGCTTATCTCACTCACGCACGTCACTGCCTTGCGAGGACTGATGTGTGTGTGATTGGGAAGTTTCATGCGATACACAGTGTCGATACTGGATTACCTTCAAGAGGTCGAAAAAATCCTGCATTCTGGTGCGTGCTAACATCACACACTCGCTGCACGTGGTTGCCAGGTGTGTGTCAGGAGCTCGGTCTCACAGACCAGTCTCACTGAGCAGTCACACACAGCCCAGTGCATTGGCTGAGCTAAGGAAGCAGCAAGTGGCAGAGAGAAGGTTCTAGCCTGTGGGTAGGGAGCAGCCACCACAGGAGCCCTGAAGTCCAAGGCAGGGGGTGGTGTTAGACAGGAAAGTGTGCAGAGGTGCCCACGATGCCTTGGGGTGGGTTTTGCCTTCCCCTGCGCCTCTCCCAGGTGCCAACTCTTGCCCCTCCCCAGTGGGCGAGGCTTGCCTGCAGCCTGGCTGAGGGACAGGCTGCCCGGGGCCCTCCCAGCCTGCACGTACTCTGTGCTGTGCCAGAGGAGCCCAGCGCGGAGTCCGCTCCCGTGCCCGCGGTCCCTGGTGGGCAGCACTCCTGGCTCCCTGTGCTCTCGCCGGCTTCGTCGGGCTCCTCTCCTTGCTGCTGTTGCCCCAGGTGCTGTTCAACCATCATGTGCAGCTCTGGGGACACACACAGAGGGAGGCAGCACTGGGCGAGGCTGCCCCAAACTCGACAGTCTCACCTAGGGGTCGGCACACGTGACCGGGATTTGGCCTCTGCCCACCTTCCCCACTGAGGGCTGAACCGGAAGGCAAATGAGCTGGGTACCAGCTAGATCCCAAGCAGTGCTTCTGCCAGGGGTGGCCACTGTGAGGCACTGTGCTCAGGAGGCGGGCACCTCACGGCACAGCGGGTCCTCTGCCCTGGGAAGGCAGCAGGAGACGGCCCACATCTGGTCCCCTGCCACCTGGATCCTGGCTTCGTCCTGGCCTGCTGCTGGCACAACCAGCTGAGGACTGAACCAGCAGAGGGAAGCGCTCTCTGTCACTCTCCCTTTCAAATAAACAAGTAAATACACTTTAAAAACAAAACACTTCTTCCAAAGGTGAGTGGTGGTGGTAGGAGAAGAGCCTTTTGTGCTTGGAATAGAAGGTGGAGCTGATGTGGTGCAGCAAGTTAAGCTGCAGCCTACGTTGCTGGCATCCATGTGACTGGCAGTTCGAGTCTGACTGCTTCCCATCCAGCTCCCTGCTAATGCCCCTGGGAGAAAAGCAGAAGATGGCCCACATGCATGGGCCGCCGCGCCCATGTGGGAGACCGTGATGGGCTCAGACTCCTGGCTTTGGCCTAACCCTGGTCGTTTGGACCTAGGCCTCCTGTTCTGCCTGATCCTTGTGGTCATTGCGGGGAATAAACCAGCAGATAGAAAATCTCTTTCTTTCTCTCCTGTCTCATCTCTCTGTCATTCTACCTTTCAAAGAAAATAAATCTTAAGTAATAAAAGATAGCTGACTGGCTGGGATACCTGGCTTCCTCCAGGGGAAGGCAGAAAGATACAAGCTCAGCTGAGCAGGAGGGCAGACAAGCCGGGCAATAGGCAGGCACAGAAGTTATATGGCCAGCAGTGCGCCAGCAGCGTGCCAGCAGCCCTCAGGTACCCTGGCGTGCACACATGCGTGCAGCGCCCTATGCTAGTGAGTTCATAAATGGCGTGCCACTTTCCAGGCTCCGAGGGTCAGGGGTTCAAGTGGTATCAGCTCACTCTGAGAAAGTCTGACCTGACCATCTCCCCAGGATCCCTTCCCAAGGGGTCAGTTTTGCCTACTCAGTCTCCGCCCTTGGGGCAAAAAGGGGCAGCAGCTTGGCGCACCTTTCATCGTGGGAGTGGTCCTTGTTGTCTTCTTCCGTTGCCGTGGAGACATAGCCAGGGTGGACTGTGGGGGATATGGAGCAGAGATGGGTGCCAGGCGTGCTCACTCTGCCACCCCATCTTGCTTCGCTTTTTGATGGAGGGGGTTGAGAGGCAGTGAGGGCTTCAGCAAGGCAAGGAGAACAATGCTTGACTCCCCAGCCACCCGCCCAGCGGGTCAGGGAGACCCTGTGCACTCTGCAAGTACACATGAGTGTGTGTGTGTGTGTGTGTGTGTGTGTGTGTGTAAGCATGCAGGACCATTTGTTCACCTGTTTGGATGCGGGGAAGGAGGGGTCAGGGTTTTGGGGACTTGCCCCCTAAGAAGCTGTGGGTTCCTCAGACTTCTGGGTGGAAGGGACCAGCTCACCTTGAGAAGTGGGTTGGGGATCCGGTCTTCATCCACCTCTGAGGGGAACAGGGACAAGAGAGGTGATAAGGACAGGAGATCCAGGGCGACCCCACAGTGCTGACTTGCCAAGGGAGTTGGGGGGCTTTGTAGTCATCTCCTTCCTGATCTGTCTCTTACCTCCTCTGCTCCAGGAAGCTGCCCTGACGCTGCCCAGCCTTCTCTCCCTTCCCCCCCTCCTGCTCTGCCGGCAGACCCTAACCCATGCCTCTAGTCTTGTCCTTGACCATGAGGTTGCAGACCCAGAGGTCTCTGGCAGCAGGCTCTGCAGCCTGTTCTCTCAGTTTGCCAGGCTTACCCCCCACCCCAGGGCTCTGCATGGGAGGCAACACAGAGGCCACAGCAGGGGCCGGGACGATGGTGGCTGTCCCAGGAGGTCCAGGCACCTGGGTTCTAGACCGGCTCACCAGCCTGGCTCACCCTCCTTCACCCCAGCAGCCCCCTTCCCGTCACTCTCTCCGCAGCCCTTGATGGGACACTGGCGCCCAGTATCCCAGCTGCTCCCAGGGCTGTTTCTAACCTTCGCCTTTCCTCTGGGGGCCAAGAAGAGAGCTGGTGGAGGCGGGCCCTCCCCCTCACAGCTGTCACTGCCTCTGGGGGTGGGGGCAGCAGTTGCTGGAGAAACCTGGGAAGCTGTTGCCGCAGCAACCGGCCCACCATTGACCACCCTAATGCCTCCTGGCGGGGGGGGGGTTGGGTACCGGGGTGGTCTCCTCCACTTCCCAGCACTGCTCTGTCTGGCTAACAGTGGAGGAGATCCTGCTAATGTAACCACAGCGCTGGCTTGCTTGCCTTGGGGAAGATCCAGGGGCCCTGCCCTCCATCCCCCTGGCACCCCAGCCGTCTGTGGTGACTCCTAGTCCCCTTGGTGCTCTGGCCCTGGGTTACCTGGGGAAGACTGGTCACTGGTCAGCACGAGGGTGGCCGGGGTGGGGCGACGCCTCCGAATCTGAGTGGGGTGGGGGGAAGGGTGGGAAAGTGGGAAGAAGTCAAGTGCAGGTGGAGGTGTCACAGCTCACCCCACACAGCCAGCCCTCTGGACACACACCTCTGAGAAGGCCACCATGCACTGGACCCACCGGGCCAGGGTGGCCAACCCAGGGGACTACTGCTCCCAGGGACCCAAACGCCACCTGTCTTGCTCCATCTCCCCTGTCCCCCCTCCATCACAGCAGCCCTATCTGCTCTAATGCATCGATTTCTGGCCTGCTGTCCTTCCGTCCGTTCTGGATCAATGGTCAGAAATAACCTAGGAGGGTGTAGACCTTTGTCTTGGCCTCTCACCCAGCCACCCGCTCCACTCCTAGCAGGCATTAACCTTCAGTGGGCCAGTGCTTAGCAACAGCAACCCTCAGTTCTATCTAGCGGGAGGCAGGGCGGGGCACAGGGTGGGAGGGGCTGAACTGCATCTCCTCTGGCCCTCTGCCCCCACACCTCCGCTTCAGGGCCCCCGACCTGGGACACACCATTGTTCTGATTGGCTGGGAAGCAGGATGAGGGGAAATCCCTGTTAAGGTGACTGCCCCACACGGAGGAGTCCCAGGCAGGACCTGGTTCAGATCTTCAAGTTGAGCTGAGAAAAATCTCACTGAGTTTTAAGGTCTCCTAAGACACTAACACACAAAGCTGGTGGATGGCAGGGCTCCCGGAGTGCCCCCTCCCCTGCTGCCATTCTTGTGTCATTGCTGTAAGTTGGCTCAAGGACTCCTGGGACGTGTAGTTTTTCTCCCGGACTCTGGTGGCTTGGAAATGAGTGGAACGAAGTATTGGAGTTGCCGGTGCAGCTTCTTCCAGGAGGGCAGTGGAGCGGGAAGGCCAATAGGCCAGGGGAGGACGAGGGCAGAGGGCACGGACAGTGAATGGTCAACCCCTACCCCCGCCCCTCTCTTTTTGCAGGTGGCTTGCTCAGCATTGGAACCAAGGGCAGCACAGGGTAGGGGATAGTGGTGAAATGCCGTCCTTCTTTGCCCAGGGGTGCCAGTTGTGCAAGAGGAGGGTACTATCCCCAGAAAAGCAGGTGCCCCTTAAGGGGCTGATGAGGGGTGGGACCGTTTCCTAGGAGATTGAGTGGCATCCGTTTTTGGTGACATTTGAAGGTCCTTGGCAATAGCGGTCCTGTGTGTGTGTGGGCACGCACACACATTAACCATCCACTGTTTCTGCCCAGTTGCAAAAAGGGCCAAAGACTGGCAGCTGGGCACAGGCAATCCACGTGACTGGGGTGAGGGCCCTCGTTTTGCTAGGACACACTCTTCCTCCCTGTTCCTTTGGCGGCAGAAGGGATGGGAGCAGTGAGGACTGGTGCGTTGATGTGACATCCACATTGGGAGAGGAACCTGTCAGTGGGGCCCTAGGGGACTCCGAGAGGGCAGCAGGACTCTGCGACCCTGGACATGTCCTCCTCCCTTATCTGATTTCCTGGTCTTGGACCAGGCTTCTAATCGCTCCGAGTCCTTGAGAAGTGTGATGTCCTACATCAGGAGGCAGGAAAAGTCACACTTGCTGGGGCACTTCCCAGGCTGGGCTTCTGCACCCAGCCTGGCCGCTGGCTCTGAAGGACACATGGTGCCTTCACCCCTGCATTCTTTTCCACAACAGTTAGGCCAAAGGCCGGGGAGCTGGGTGCTCCTTTCACCTCCCCGGGTAGGGCTGGGTTAGGGGCTCCTGACAAACCCATACACTCAGGCAGCACAGCAGCAGGGACAGGTCTGAGTCTACAGGTAGAGAGAGCCCCAGGCCTCGGAGACACGGATTTCTGAAGATGCCAGGAAAGAAAGCAGGTCTAAGTTCCAGCAATCTTTCCTCCCCCGACTCCCCCCCAATTGCTTCACACATGCCCCCTTTCCCCCCAGATTCCTCAGCCAGCTGGCCTGCCCCTCCTCCCTCCAACCCACACCCATTACACCTGCCTTCAACACCAAACAGAAGCAGGTGCCCGGCGCCAGCGCGACGTGTTCCCAGCCTCACCCCACCCACTGTGGCCTGGTCTTGGGTGTGGGGTGATTCTAGCCTGGCCCTTGCTTTCCAGCACTCTTCCTTTGACCTCCAGGGAACCCTGCACGCTAGCATCTTCCTCATTCTCAGGAGGCTTCTGGCCCCTCCCACACTCAAACCTTGGATGCTGGAGATGAAACAGGGAGGGTGGGGAGGGCGGAGACCAGGGACCTGAGCGTTTCCCTGTTTTGGGGAGCAGGAGTTACAGAGGTGCCTTTCCCCTCCACATCCACACCTTGGTATGTCACACAGCTGGAGTGGAAACGACAGAGCCCCTCCCTGGGCCCACCCCAGGGGGGCACACAGCCCTTTTTTTGGGTGGAGTGTGCGGCCCCACCAGAGCCTGGCAGCTGTTGGTCAGGGGGCAGGCAGGGGGCGGTGGGGGGCGGTGGGGAGTAGGTGGGAAGCAGAGAGCTGCCCTTGTGGGAAGGAACCCCTTCTTTTGGGAGGGGTGGAGTCTGGGCAGGTGGACAGAGAATACAAAGAGATGGAGTGATGGGCAGACACAGAGATCTTGGGCAAATGGGCAGTAGTAAGGACCATGGGTGGCCACCCTCTCTCCACACACACACACACACACACACACACACACACACACACACACACGCTCACTCTCTCACTGAGACACTGCCGCTGTGCCAGGCTGCTGAGCTAAAAATAGGCCAGGCCAGGAGGCTGGGCCAAGGCCCTGGACTCCCACCTCTCCAGTGAGGCCCTTCCTGGTGGCTCAGCTGGGGACCCCTTTGCCTCCTGGTGTCAAGAAGGCTGTCTGTCCCCCGCGCCCCCCCCCCCCCCCCCCCCCCCGGCCTCTCAGCACTTACTCACTCCATCCCACCCCACTCCAGCTGGGATTCCAAAGGGCAGGAGTTGAGAACCACGTGTCCAGACTTGCAGGACAAGGGAGGACCCCTGGCTGCAGCGGGGAGCAGCCTTCCTCCTCCAAAGCCCCAGCCCCTGGGCTTGGTTGGTCCCTGCATCACCTGGCCAGCTCTCTGAGAAGCCGGCAAGGTGTGCCTCCAGGTAGGCAGCGACGTGAGAGCTGCCTCCCTGCCAACTCCCCACCGCACCAGCCCCTCGGTCACCCACCCCCTCCCTGTCCCCTCCCGAGCGGAGGCAGGTCCTCTTGGCGCGGTCAGCAACCTAGGAAACTCTGGTGGTGGTGGGGTGATGGGGTGGTGGGGGGGGCAAGGCTGGTGAAGAGGGAGGAGGGGTCGTGTCCTCGTGAAGGCCCCCTCCCCCAGGGTGGGGTGTAGGGAGCGACTCTGGCGGGGTCAGCCGTGGGGTGGACAGTCTGCACAGATGGACAGATGTGGCTCCGACGGTGGGGGAGGGGACAGAGACCCTCGCCCTCCCCTCCGAAAGAGCACATTCGTCCTCCAAGGGACGCGCAGCTCCGGGAAGACTGGACAGGGATTCCGGGTGGCCCCGGTCCAGGGGTCCCTCGCGTCTTTCGCTGGGCGAGTCCCCAGCCGCCCCGCCCTGCTCCGCACCTGCTCCGCCGCCTCGGGATCAAGGTGCGGCTCCAGCAGCGGGACCGTGAACTGGATCTTCCGGGGACTGTTGTCTTGCTCCATGGCTTGGGGCGGCGGCCGCGGCGCCCGCGCTGCGGCGGGGGGCGGGAAGGCGGCGGGACTCGGGGCTGGGGCGGGCGCGCGCCCCTCTCCGCTGCGCTCCGGCCCCGGCCCCAGCCCGGCGCGCTCGGCTCCCGGCTCCCGGCTCCCGGCTCAGCGCTCTCGGCTCCCGGCTCCGGGGACTGGGTGGCCACCGATTGGCTCCGCACCCGCCGCTCCCGGCCCCCTCCCCCCTCCCCCAGCCCGGAGCCTTAACCCCGTCGTGGCCGCGCCTGCCAGCTGCCGGGGGTCACCACCCCCGAGGGCGGGTGCGAGGGCGCCGGGCGTGGCCGGTCCCTGCGGACACCCGGCTGCCCTCGGAGTTCTGGCCAGAGAGTAGAGATGGGGAGTGGCTACGTAGAACTTGTCCAAGCCTGGGCAGGTTTTAGAGGGGGCGGAGGGAGGTGAGGGGGAAGGGTGAGGGCTGGGGAGGGTGGAGGGGAGCAGGTGGCACAGGCGAGAGGGAGATTTTATTTCTCATCTACGGGGGTGGGGGTGGGGTTATCTCGAAGAGAAAAAGTGCAAAGCGGAGGGGAAGGAGGGAGGATTTAGTCGTGCAGCATCAGGGACTAAGGTTAGACTTAGAGAGGGACTGATCTGTGAAAGGACATGCTGGTGGAGGTGGAGACTTGGAGGGGAGGTGTGGGTTCCAGAGAGGGAGCTGAGACCCTGTCTGGCGTCTTCTCAGGGGAGGGTCTCTTTCTGGGAGCGCCTTCCTGGGTGGGTGCAGCAGGGCTGGGAGATAGCAGCTCCTGCAGCTCCGGGCAACCGATAATGCTTGTGGAATACCTTCCACTTTCTGGGTGCTAGATTATAGGGATCATCGGAAAGTAGGCGAGAGGCCGACAGAGGGAGGAGGCGGCCATTCTTTCCATCCAGTGACTTGTTTACAAATGACCCAGGGTTTCCACTTTCACCTTGGGCGTCCCTGGCAATGACCTGTGACAGAAGAGGTGGAAGTTAGACCGAAGGAAAAACTTACTGGTTTGGGACGGGACCTGAATGGTCAATCAATACCATGGAGAAAGAGAGTCAGGCTATTTGGAGCAGCTGGCCGGTGCCTGTCCTGGGTCAGTGGGCAGAGGGGGAGGTGGGTGCTGGCCCCTGGCAGGGCCAGGGCTGGCTGGCTGCCTGATCCTTGTGGGGGACAGGAAGGGGGTGGGGGAAAGGACTGGAGGTCTGGGGTAGGGGTGAGGGTAGCGGTGCAGAGAGGAAGAGGAGGAACACACCTGGCATTCTGTTTCTTTTGAACCTTAAGCCAAGCCTGAGTGCTCTGCAGATTTATGGCTTTTTTTTCCCCAAGGATCTTGGGCTCACGCTGTCTTCCGGAGGGTCAGCTTCAACTCTGCCGGGCGGTTTTTCCCTGGACCTGGATTGCACATGACCCCTTCCCCTCCCACCTCCCAAAATAACCTGTCCTGCCCTCCCCCCTCAGCCGGATCTCTTTACAGATGTCTGGCTCAATTTTCCCTGGATGAGGCTGGGGCCACAGGGACCTAGGGAGCCCTTTGCCCTCCTTTGCGTGTGGTTGCCCCTTCATGGCTGTCCCATGGCCTCTCAGGAGTTCCTCCCTGCACCCTGCCCAGTGCTAGGGGTCCCCGTGGTGTAGGAAACCTGGTGAATGGGGGCTGGAGGCAGAAATAACTCTTAGGCTTCAGGGTGGTGGCCCCAGCTGCTGCACAACCACCTTCCTGCAGGAAGGAGGGAGAGGTTGTGAAGGTATCCAAGCAAGGAGAATAAGGGTGTGGTGTGTGGTGTGTGGTGTGGTGTGGTGTGGTGTGGTGTGTGTGTGTGTGTTGGGGCAGGAGGAGCTGCCAGGCCCATAGGGCCCAGTTGTTGTTCCACATGCATTCCAACTCCGACCCACAGAATGGGCTGCAAAGCATCCTGTTAAAATAGGTGATTTCTCTGTCTCCATCCCATTGCACCAGGCCCCTTTGAGACTTGAAGCCAGAATTCTCCCATTCCCTCATCCCTGGGATCTGGGGTTGCTCTCACTGGACCCCGGTCTCATTTGTAAAACAGACTCTCCTGGGGTTGGGCAGTAAGGAACCCTCTGTGACTTGACAGCTGCCCATCCTATTGTTCTGTCACCTCCCAGCAGGGCTGTAATACTGGGCAACACATTTCCAGATTTTCTTAGGATGCATACCTCTATAAGAGAGACTCTTCCAAACGCTGGTTCACTCCCCAAGTGCCCACAACAGCTGGGGCTGAACCAGGCTGAAGCCAGTAGCTGAGACCTTCATCCTAGTCTCCAGTGTGGGTGGCAGGGACTCAAGCACTTGGGTCATCTTTTGTTGCTTTGCCTGGAGCATTAGCAGGGAGTTGGATGGGAAGTGGAGCAGCCTGGACTCTGCTATGGGATGCGGGAGTGCCAAATGGTGGCTTAACCCTCTTGTGCCACAACCACTCTTATCTCCATTTTGCTTGGGTCTTTTCCATATTCCCCTTTTTCTCTCAAACTCTGGTCTGGATTGTGGAAATCCCTTCCCAAGTCTCTCACTCGAGCCTTCAAGTTGCTTTCTGAAGTCCTAGGTTCTCAGACCTCACTCTCCCGAGATCTATGGATAGGGAGAGGGGCGCAGAGAGCTGGGGCTTTGAAGAGATAGCTGGTGTGTGTGTGTGTAGGTGGGGGGGTGGAGGGAGGGTGGGCAGGAGCAGCCGGTGCTGGGGTGGAGGCAGAGCAGGAGGGAGCAGGGAGCGGCAGGAGAACGTGGGCAGGTGGACTGTTGTGGGTGGCAGGGAGAGGAGTGTGGCTGCCGTGGGGTTTTCTGGGAAGGTGTGTGGATATGTCATTTTGACCTTTAATTTACACCCAGAGCCGTTGGAGCGCCTGCTGGGCCTGTGGGTGGAAGAAGCCCGGGCTGCCCACGCACGGCGAGGGGGTTGTCAGGGCCTGCACCTGCTCTTGGAGGCCCTTGCTAGAGCGAATGAGTGTTAGAGACGGGTGCCAGTCATTCCCGCAGCTTGCCAGCGTCTCCATCAGGTGTGCGTCCGTGTGCAGGTGTGCTGGTCCCTGCCGCAGTCACAGCCAGGGCTGGGGGAGCGGCAGCAGCTCTTCTCTGTGGTGTGCTCCCGAGTCCATGAATATTTAAGGTTACAGGGATGTGTCTGGGTGACGCAGCCACTCTGCTGTGCTCCGGGTTAATGGGGCTGTTCTGGGTTGCTCTCAGCATTTTCTGCTTTTGTGTATCTACTCTGCTCCCCCATCCTGCCCACCTCCCCCGTATTGATTCCCCCATCCTCACAAGCAACAAGCATAGGGGGAGCAGTAGCCTTTATATATTTTTTCCATATATATTTTTATTATTAATTACATTGCATTATGTGACAGTAGCCTTTATTTTTCAAGGGCAGGGTGCTGCAGGGAGGGGCTGGCGACATGGACCGCCTGGGCTAGCCTCTGGGGCTTGAGGGTCTAGTTCCTGCCTTTGCTGCCAACCCCCTGGGTGACTTGGGGGTCCTACCCCCACCATACAACACACGCATAGGCACACACAGGCATACATACTCACACACATGCCATAGACACATGTCTCTACACACATACATGTAACATGTAACAGCACACATGAGTACACATACACACATGTACACACTCAGACATGTATATATATCCTGGGCTCACTTTTTTAATCTGCAAGATGAGTGGGACCAAATGACCCTGGAGGTCTCTTCTGATCTTGGTGGGGGATTTCATTTACGGGCTTATTCTTGGAGTGCCCGAAATAGCTGGGGATGAGCCATGTCAAAGCCAGGATCCAGGAACCCAATCCGTTTCTTTCATGGTGTAGCAGGAACCCAACTATACAAGCCATTCAGGGTCTGCATTAGCAGGAAGTTGGAATCAGGAGCTGGAGCCAAAACTGGAATTAGGAGCTGGCATCAAAACTGGCATTTGGGGTTGGGGAGGGAAGCGGCACAATCCACTGCCTGCACTGCTGGCATCTCACATGAGTGTCATTTGAAACCCTAGCTGATTCTCTTCTGACCCAGCTCCCTGCTTATGTGCTTTGAGGATGTGCAGCAGAGGATGGCCCCAGTCCTTGGGTCTCTGCACCTACATGGGAGACCTGGAAGAAGCTCCTGGCTCCTGCCTGGGCCAGCCCTGGCACTGGGGCCATTTGTGGAGTGGACTTAAGAATGAAAGTCTTCTCTGCTCCCATCCTCTCTCTCTGTCTCCCTTTCAAGTAAATGAAGACAAAAACAAACAAAAAACAACAGACCTCCAATGGTGGGACCCAGATACCCCAAACACACTGGAGGGCAACTGCTCAGACTGCTTCTATATCCAGACTGACTCCATCCAGTGAGTCCCTGAAAGCCACATGCTCATACCGGCGCACTGCAATTTCTGGAAACTGTCCTCAGAGCTGTGGCAGATGCTCTGAAAAGACACTCCAGGGAGCAAATCTTGGTCTTCTGTGGTGGGGCGGGGGATGCTCCTTCTGCAGTGATGGAGACCCTCGTGGCCAAGTGTTATGGAGAGGACGAGAGGCCAGGAAGGGGACGGACCTTGGTTTGCAGAAGTGTGGGTGCCCTGCAGAGTCTGTGTGTATCCCCCTCCTACTCTCCCTGGGCGCCACATCCAGGAGTCCGCAGAGCAGGGCTGCCTCAGAGGCGTGGCCTCCTGGGAGACACCTTGCGAGGCCCAGGCCCCTAGGGCAGCATGCCACCTGGCATGCCTGCAAGAAAGCCCCCTAGTTGTGGTTGCCAGGCTTGGGCGCACGCTCCTGCAGCTGGTGCTTTTGGGAGTGTGGCCAGAGCTGCTGATTCACACTCAGGTGGCTGCTCACTTCCAAGCTGCCTTGCCTCTCACAACCGCAGAAACCACGGGCACAGGTGGGAACAGCCTGTGAGGTGGGCAGGAAGGGTAGTGGTGGTGGGGGGGGTGCAAGTAGGAATCGGGGCCAAGTGGGAGAAGGCAGACTTCTCAAGGGCTGGCAGTAGTGCCAATTTTC